GGAGTGCTTAAGGTGTTTTTACTGTGTTCATCACCATGGTAGCAAAGTACCTGATATTTACTTAAGGTATAAATGAAACCTTTACAGGTTGAATTTTAATCTTTGCTGCTTGTTTTGTGTCCAGAATGGAAGTATGTGAAGCAATCACAAAAGGTCCATTTTTTCAGATATTTTTTCTTCTTACTCTGCTTTCCTCTCAAGTTTGTGCTCATGAGTTAGTGCAGACTCAGCTAGACTTGCATAAAGGGGATGAGAGTTGAAGAGTTTAGTGACACTTGGGTGTGATGTTCTGTTTTGGAACACATTGAAAAACTTACGATTTTAATTCTGCTTTTCTCTTTGGAAGCTGTTTCTCTGCCCTTTAATCATCATTGTTAAAGAAGTGTATACACGTTATCATGAACACAGCAAGCTTGCTCATCCTACTTATGTTTTTAATACTTTTCTTGCTCGTTTTCTAATCAGCTGAAGTGTCACATTAGAAATAGGTGGTTTGTTATTTTCAATTGTCTTCTGCATCCTGGATGGAAGCTGTTGGGCGGCTTTGCTTTCCTTATGGGAGGGCTGAGCTGTAGCTGTGCAAATGCCATCCATGACATTCTTGCAGTGCTCGTTTGATAAAATTTGTAGTGTGAAAAAGGAAGGACTAAAAGTTTGGGTTCATTTTGGGGGCACAAACATATTTATAATCCATGTATTTGCATGGCTCTCTCCAAAGCTTTTTCTCCTGTCTATAACCATGTGTTTAAGAAATTGATGATTCAAAAAAATTCTTCAGATTTGTATTTCCCATTTTATCTTTCTGAAGAACAAATCACTACGCTTTTGTCTGAAAGCTGTAGAAGAATCATGATAGCAGGCAATGCTGTCTTTTACAAGGTTTGAGTTGTAAAAGTAATAACAAAATACTGTAAACTCATAAGGGCATGCCCATAGTTTAAAAGACTAATCTAGATTTTCCTAATTTGGGTTTTAAAACTTCTTAGCAGTAATGCAGACCATCTAAAATCCTGTTTCCTCTTAATGTAAGAAGTGAAACAGGTGTTCAGTAGGAGCCCTCAGAGAGAAGTTGTTGCATCCTGGTGTGGGGTTTTTTTTATGCTGCTGGTTTGCTCCTTGTATGAAGAGAAGTTTTGTGCAGGTTAGGGCTACTACACCTTCCAATGCCTGAGTGTGGTTACTTAAAGCTTCAGGAGGTGAGAAGTCCTTGAGCATGGGAAATCAGTCAGTGGGGAGAACCCAGGTGCATTTATTTGCTCTTTGCAGGTGGCATTTGAAGTGCCTGAAGTCCATCACCTGTGGCTGTTTGTGTGAATGACCTTTTATATATAGCTTTTTGTACTGGTAAAATACAGCTACAGGGTGGACAAAATGTAGATAAGTGAGGCAAGGAGAAATTCTTCTGGATATAGTGTAAGGGTATTTAGGTTATGCTTTTTCATGCCAATCACTTTCAGGTTATGTTGTTAGCAAGGATTAAAATACTTTGTAGTAGTACTCAAAATAGTGCCATTTTGGTGCAAATTCTTGAGTGTGAGGTGGAAATGCTCTCTTGTTTTTCACAGCAGAAATGAACTGCTCTGATCTCTGTATGATGAGATAGGATGAAGCTGAGTTAACAAATGAGACCACCTTGTGCCCTCCGGAGAAGTTTCAGCCTTGCTGTGAAGCACTGATAAAGCCACAAGGCTAGTGCCTGGTGGGATTTCAGGGGTACAGCAGCTACAACCACACATCTGCTTTGTAGGCAATGCTGCATTGCAAGTATCTGATCAAGGTGAATGGTGATAGGAGGGCTAAATATAACCTTTCTAGTGGAATGCTCTTATTTCAAAGCGTAGGGAAATTTGTCTGTAGCTGTGTGCATGAGGAACAGAACGTGCAGTACTCAAAGGACAGCTGATGAAAGGGGCTTGCCCTACCTCAATTGCTCCTTGCTTCCAGAGTTCATCAGGCTCTGAAACATAAACATGGCCCCAGGGGTTGCCTGGCATAGGCAAGGCATAACTGCCATGTTCATCTCTTTCCTCTGGCTTTCATCTACCCACCTCCCAACACACAGGAGTTAGCTTTATTTATGGGTTGAGCCTAGTAATAACTTTGGTTTGAAGAAAATACCTGTGGGCAAAGCGTGGCTTCTGAGGCTGTGCCTGTGCAGGAAAACAGAGGTGAAGTTGCAAATAGGTAGTCAATCTCACACTCTCTTTAGTCTAGCTAGCAGGATGGCAAGGGTAAGGAGGGTACAGTTTGTGCCTTCTGTAGACCCTTGGTCTCTGCTGATGTTGCCCAGCTGTTCTGCTGGTGGCTTTACTGCTACTGTTGACCAGGCTTCTGTCATCATAGATAACTGATGATACACATATAATATACAGCCTACCTGCAGTTTAAGTCTTCTTGGCTCTTTTTAGGTGTGGTGGAATTATAAAAAGTGGGAAGAGAGGTAGATACTGAATGCTGAAACCTGCTTGTGATTCCCACATTTTTGGATATCTGTCCTGGGTGCACATAATCACAGCCTTAGCTCTATGCTAGTATAATGTGACAGACTGAGCACTGAGAGTAATGAGAGCAATGAGTGGTATGTGTTTGAAAAGAGCATATGAACTCTCTTCTTCTTCCTGGATTTGGTAGGTTTGAGCTTATCTTTACAGTTCCTTAGCAACCTTATTTGTTTTCAGTAAGAGCTTTCTGGGTTTGATTGTGGGGGTTTCCCTCCACCACTGGCTTGGTTGCAGCTGGGGAGGGTTAGAAAAGAGCATGAAAAGAGGACATGGCAGACACATCGGGTATCACACTGACTGCTGCATCCTTCAGCCAGGGGAAAAAAGGCTTATTCTGCTATCAAATATGAGGGAGCAGGGGAATGGGGTAAGGAGACTAGAGCAGAAGTCTGTTAGAGACATTTTCATTATTAAAGAGAAGAAAGTGGAAAATGTTAGCCGTGCATAATATATATAACATAGCCATACATAAAACATGGTAACATGTGTATTACACATGGTCCAGGGAGTTCTGCCCTGTCCCGCAGTGCAATTTATCTCCTCCCTTTGAACTTCACTAAAGTGCCTCTAGCAGTACTGACACATCCCAGATGCAATCCAAAAACATAGCTGAGAAATAGGTCAGTTGCATCAGAAGTCAGGTTTCCTAAAAACGTACAAGGAAAAGAGACATGAGACTTCTGAATATGAAGTCTCTGTAGGATTGCCTTTCTAAATAGATGAATGTTCCAACTTAGCAATATGAGTAACACTCTACAGGCAGAGCAGCTTTGCTGTCACACATCTATACAGAACATGGTGAAAAATTTGTAGGTGATCTGGGATTAAGATTTGTCCTAAATAACATGGGCATCATCTACTCAGAGCAATCAGTGAACACAGCAGATGTTCTCTGATCAAGGAATTTCTAAGGCAACTCTTCTTCATTTCTTGTTTTGTTTGACTTTCGGTGATACTGTGTTAGTTGATCTTCCTCCCCACCCTGCTTCCCTAAGATAAGCACAAGCAATTCAAGGGAAGTAGACATAAAGTTTTTAGTAGAACATAACAGGGAATTTGCATGGTTAATGACAAAATCTCATTTTCGTCCAACTTTCCCCCTTGATAATCCCATAATTCTTTCTGTGATGCAACACAACATCTATGAAATCTGGATTTCGCACTCCTTCCATGATCCTAAGTACACCCGTATGGGCCCTCTCTTCTGTTTTGATTGCTGCAATTTGTTTCTCTTGACTCCTTTCACCCTCACAGCCTCCAAAACAAACATTACAGAGCTGCAGTGCCCTTTTTCCACTGTTTGCCCAGACCATCTCTTTGCACTGGCAAGAAGTTGAGTTTCTTGTCTCATATTTTTTATGCACAATAAACTGTATTTTTCACATATATAGTGCTGTAATGCAAAGTAAGGTGAACTTCAGACTCTAAGTTTCTCTCCCTGTTTCCCAACATTTAGATGTATTCCCTGGAGAAGGCAGTGGTCAGCAGGCATGCAGTGAAAGGGCTGTCACTTAGGGCAGAGCTCTGTGATTAATTCTAAGGCTACTTTAGGTACCGGCAGCTTTAAATCTGAAAAATTTTAGACTTTTAAATCTGCAAAATTAAACCACTGATCTTTGCTGCTGGCAGGAAAATTACTGATGCTGCTGTATGCCCTGGGATTATTGCTGCAGCAGTGACTCTCTGTGTTAGTTGTAGATAGGCACAGTGGGGCCCAAGATCGTCTGTTGTCAAAAGATAGTTTAAAACACTTTTCCCTCTCCACTTGTTTTTCAGATAAAGGCATGTTCCTTCAACTAAGTCAGGTTCCTCGTTTTCCTAATCCAAAGAAGTCCATGAGTAGCTGCTCTCATTCTTTTCATCTTTGTTTGCCATTTGCTAATGTTTCTCTCCAGTGGCAACTCAGCTCCTTGGCCTGTAAGTTGCTCTCCTCTGGAGGAAGGCGAGGAAGGGACAGCAGAAGTGAGGAGGAGGAAGATTCAGGCAAAATGTCTCCTCTCTGTCCTGTGTGTCATATTATTTCCTGTGACAGAAACTAGTCTCCCAATGCAACAAAGACATGTGAGATATCGGGCAGTATAAATTCACCCCGAACATCTCCAAGCAAAGTTCTAATGAGCCTCTCACCTGTTTGGTGTGAGTCACTGCCAAAGACAGTCACAAAGGCAGTCACAGCTGCTGCACCAGGGACAGATTGCTGCAAAGAGTGTGATGTAGAACTTGTTCTCACCTCCCATTGCTGCCATTTCTTCTTTTTTTTTTTTTTTTTCAGTTAAAAATAGATTATTATGAAGAATTAATGAGGCTCTCCAAAGACCACATGAAACATGCCAATAAACAGTAATGAGCTTTTAATTCATAAGAGGCAATAGACTTCAGCTTCTGTTGGCTTATTTTGCACACAGGAGTAATTCCTTGCTCAACAGGGTTATTTGAAAGAAATGTTAGACAGGGTTTATATGTTATATTGTGAAAAGAAGTTCGTAGATGCTTTACTTCTTTTTTTTGTTTCTTTTTTTCCTTTCTTCTCTGAACATACTTGAAATACCTAAGGGCTTTTAGGATATTGTAGGGAAAATAGTGTTCTGTAGTTGATGAGTGAGGGGTTTCTCTTTGTGTTTCAAATGCTCACCTCTTCAGGGCTTTGAAGAAAGATTCAGAGACTTGGTAACTGCTAGGCATTTCTCTCTTTCCTTACAGAGAGACAGGGATACCCACCCTTCCTGTCATTAGCCTACTCCAGTTTCCCAGAGGTAGTAGGTCATACATAATAAGATTTCTTTAAAAAACCAAACAAACCCACAAACCAAACACTTTATAGATAACACCGTGTGGGGAGTGCAGCAGCAGTACTGACATAAGGAGTTAGGAAGGTGCAGCTGTTTATGGGACTGGCAATCAGGTCAGGGAATTGAATTCACTTGAAAAGGCAGGCAGGGGAGAGGGAAGGGGCTGTGCTTTGCTTTGAAGCCTGGGTTAGTTCCCTGATCTGGCTCACAGCACAACTGGATGTGCACTGGGGAGGAAGCAAAAGGCTGGGGGAGGGATAGGAGGTGTAAGGGAACTCCTGCTGCTTGAGTTGCTGCAACTGTAAGATAGTGCCCAAGTTTGAGAATTACGACAGTTCTGAGTTTGCTCTTAAGGAAATAAATGGGGTTTGAGACCTATATTTGCCAGTAAGCTTCATAACAGCTTTCCCTGTGACGGTCTCTTTTAACACCATTTTACAGATGTGATAGCAAAGGTTAACCAAGTGGATTTGCTTTGGGAACAAAGAAAAAAATGTGGAAGTAATAAATTCCGTGTTGGTGTGGTCTCTGTTGGTCGTTTCCATGCACCTTCCTGTGGCTGAAGCCTTCGCTGTCTGTGCTGTGGTGGAGCTGGCACAGCTGTCAGCATCACTAGGTCGGGAAGAAGTTGACTTAAGATTTTTAATTTTCTTAACAAAGAAAGCCTCTCAGAAATACTGAGCTTTTTCAACAAAGACCAACACCAGTTGTAATAAAGATTCTAGGTCATCTCTGTGCCGTTTTTAGCAAAACAAGAAGAAATAGATCCAGATTGATTTTAAGGCAGTCTTCAAAATAATATTCAGGAAATTTCTCCTGAAGATCAGGAGTAACATCCTGACAAAACTCCCTCTGTGGCTTCTGGTGTAACTGGAAAGATTTTTTTCCACTATGAAGATTTCTCAACATACATCTTTTCCCTCTGATGATATGGAGCCATGCTGTGAACAAGGCTTTTTGAGCTGCATGAAGTGATTTTGTTTAATGAACTTAAATCCAAGATTAAGTTGGGCTTGTTCTAGTCTGAGCATGATTAGAAATACTTCATGTATGTTTTGCTTGGAAAGCTAATGTTACATCTTAGCATGAGCCTTAAATTTTTGAAGGCAGATTTAGTTATTTTCTCCTGCTATGAAAAATATTTTAAATTTCATTAGATCTATGTTAGTGTTTTCAGGATGAAATAGCTGTTCAGGTTCTTAGTTACTTTTCTTTCAATTCTTGGAAGGAATTCTATTCTGTGGCCTATGTGGTTAAGTGACTGAAAGGTTTAAGCATGTGTAGACAAAGCTGTCCATATTAAGGGAAAAAGTATAGTTAAAGGCATATTATGAAAAAGTGAAAGATGAAACTCTTTTTCAGCATGTGAGCTGCACAGGACACAATAAACCTACCCTAAAGGTTTGACATCCTGTCAAAGGCAATTCTTGTTTCTTTAGAGACTCATGCCTGTGGCAGATTTATTCCTGACTGGTATACCTGGAGAGAAAGATATATTAAATGCTAGCAGAGAAGAAGGAAAAAGCTTGTCAAAACTTGTGGTTTATGAAAATGGTGCCAACATTTGGTCAGAGCCAGCTTTACTAGGGTTGTAGTCAATTCTGGGAGCTGGGTTTACAGGGAAGTTTTGTTGTTCTATTAAAAGGTAGAACAGGATGAACTTTTAAACCTAGGTAAAGTAGTTTCCATGGGCCCGACTCTGTCAGCAAAACAAACGAGTGTTAAGAAAGAACAGCCAAATTATTAAGGCAAGATAATAGCAGAAGTGTTTTCTCACAGTAGAAGTCAGATGACTGAAATCAGGAGCTATCTTGTCTTCTATGTCCCCTCTTGGACACTGGAACAGACACTTGGGGACTTGCTCAGAGACTGAACATGGCTTTCCTGAATGGTGGTAGCTTCTGCTTATAAAACAAACAAGCTTTAAGACCTTGTCCTTCAAGATCTCCTGTTTACTTGCAACCATGCAGAAGAGTGTTGAACACAGTCTGTCCTGGAGAGAGAACCCTGCCCCTTGTTTTCCCTGCGTTGAGGGAAACCCTTAATGAGAACAGGCATTCCTCTTTGTTTGGGAATGTAACTCCTCCTTTGTGTTTTGTACATGCCAAGAAGTATTGCGTGATTAAGGTGGTTTGTTGTTTTAGATCGATAGTTTGGGTGTGGGATACATCCAGCTTCCATGGGCCAGAAAGTGTCACTGAGCTCACTGCCACTCTCGCTTCCTGCTGAGGGAGAGATCTCAACGAGATCACTAAGGTTTAGCAGTTGTGTGAATAAAGATATCTCCAAGATGAATGTTTTCAAGTGACAGGAACCTTCCTTTTCCAAACAAACAGACTGGTGTTTCATAGTCAGTCTATGAGAGAAATAAGCTGCTAAAAAAATGGAATTTCTCAGAATCACAATATTTGCAAATTGCAAACACAATATTTTTGTTGTTCTAAGTCAGAACAAAAAGGCCAAACTTCCCATTTTATGAAAACTCTGGGAAAAGGAGAAAATTGATTTGTTACCTTTGAAACATTCATATCTTTATATTTGATGTAACATTGACAATAATGCAAATAGAAATCTTACTCTTTTGTAAGTTGAAGAAAAAGAAATTCAGTTTAGTAAAAGCACAATGCTTTACTTTGACATTTTTACTTCTACTCATTTTGAATTTCCACCCATGTCACAAGACAAAAAACAACTACACTCAGTTAGCATCAAGAGCCCTTTTCATCTGAGGGGATATGATTTAGACACTTCCTTTCCCAAAGGTAAGACTTACCTCTTACATGCTGGATGGGTTGTCCCTGTGATTTCCTCAAATATGAGAAAATTCACTGCAGTGTCTGTGGTAGTATGGAACTGCATTTGTGCTTTACCCTGGAAGTTTAAAATGAGCATCAGGTCTCCACTAAGTTCCTGGTATTTGGGAAAGAGTATGAGAACAGGGAGAAACTCAATGGAGACTTATTTCAATACCTCTCCTGTTATTTCCTAGTATAGAGAAATCCACAGTTTGAAAAGTTCCTGAGCTGGAAGTAATCTTCTTATTGTGTTTTGTTGTTACCACATCTTTCTTTTATGATTCTTCCTATTATTTGGGTAAGTACGCAGTTATGGCATCTTAAATACTCTGTATTGGTTAGTGTAATAATTAGTTTTGTTGAGTGGCACAGGAATTATTCAGTAAAACTTGAGGTCTGATCATATTCTCAGACCTTCCTTAGGTCTTTTATTTGCGTATTAGCAGATAAACATTTCCCTTCACCTGTTTCATACCTATCATAACTTTACAGCCCTCTGTTTCCTTACTGATTTCTTTCCCAAGCTGATGTGTCTTGGTCAATTTGAATGTTTTTCACACAAATTATAAAACAGGAAAAACATTGCTCATTTGTCCTCTTTGTACTCTATTTCTGTTGTGTTCTTTCTGAGAAGAGAATTGTGTGTTATATCTAAGGTATTTTTACATTACTAATTCTGACTTGTGCAACACTTTATCTTTTATTTTCTCTTCTTAGATCATTGTTCAGATGGAGGCTGAATATTTGTGTGCAGCATTGTCTTGGCAACACCAATGCCAGCAGATGAAAGAGCTGCAGAAACAGGAGAACCCTTCCAAGAAAGCTGCAGCTGGTGCATTTGCTCAGCTCCAGACTTTTTTTTTTAATGCTTTGCTTAGGGACATGGCTTAGTGGTGAACAGGGCAGTAAATTTTTTTACAGTTGCAAAGGTCTCAAAGAAAAGACTCAAAGGTCTATTCCAACCTCAACAATCCTATGATCCTATGGTTTAGGGAGCTATTGCTAACTTCCATAACTTTTGTAGTTAGTAGTTTGATAACCTGTTACAATGAAGTTTGATTGACGTTGTAAAGATGACTGGCACCTGCAAAGGTATCCATGAGACTATTGGGAAGGTGCATTTTAATGCCACACAAATGAAATGCATCATTCTTACATCCAAATGATGAACAAAACGGACATCAATTAAAAAGGGAGTGAGACCTTACAATCGTAGTAGAAAGTGAAAAAGTCATCCTGATACTCACAGTCAAAAAAGGAAATCAAATGTTAAGAATTAGTATGGAAACATAAGTGCAAGGAAAATGAAATAGAGTATAAAAATTTTCTTCTGTATAAATCCAGAGTGTACCCATACCCTGCCTGATGTGTGCAGTTGAGCTCTCCCCATCCTCCACGTTGAAAAGGGTTATAATAGAACTCAGAGAAAGCCAAAGCTGATCTTAAGATATGAAATAGCTTTTACAGGAAGAATAAATAGGTCTTCTGCTTGGAAAGCATATAACTGAAAATAAATATTGCAAAAATACAGGGATTCATGAATGACATGGAGGTCACAGAATCATTTAGGCTGGAAAATACCTTGAGGAACATTGAGTCCAACCATTTATTAACCCAGCACTGCCACATCCAACACTAAACCATGTCCCAAGTGGCACGTCCACTCATCTTTTAAATACCTCCAGGGATGGTGATTCAACCACTTCCCTGGGCAGCCAGTTCCAATGCTGGACAACCCTTTTTGTGAAGAAATTCTTCATAATACCCAATCTGAACCTCCCCTGGCACAACTTGAGGTGATTTTTCTTGTCCCTGTGGTTTTTTATAGGAAAAGGCAGTTGATTTGGGACTATGCAATGAAGAAAACAGGTGGTACATAAATGGACGCAATTTTTTAACGCAGGCACTTAAGCTATGGAACTCCGGCTAGAAAATATGAGCAATGGAAAGAACTCCATTTGTCATAATTCCACTAAGGCTGGGGAATACTTAGAGGAAGTTACTACTTTACTTCTTTACAAACCAGCTGGGCAGTGGAATTATCTGCGCCTGCATGAAGAGTTAGGGGGAAAGGAAGAAGACTTGGTAGAATAGAAAATTTAAGGAAGGATGGGAAAGAAGATGAAAACTGTGATGGGTTCTGGATTGAAAGAATGAGGAGAAATGTTTTGACTCTGAGAGCTGGGGAGGTGGCTTGTGAAAGGAGTTTGGAGATAGAAGGGCTTGGGACATAAAAAATCACAGCTATGACAAAGCAGATGAGAGAAGAGAGTCAGGGGATGGCCGTGCTGTGCTATATAGGATTCTGTTTGAGAATGGGCTGGGATTACTGTGGTGCCTTCCTGCTGCCTCTAAGTAGCTCTTTTCTGGAAACAGAAATTTGCAGAGACTTGGCCTTCCTCTCCCAGCAGCAAGGGTTTTGTCACACCTACATTCTCTTTTTGTCACTAAAAAGTATAAAAATTAAATGTAATTTCCAGATGAACACGAAACTATTTTACCATCTATCTTAAAATCAATACTTCAGCATCATGGATCCCCCAAACTCATCTCCTCCTCTACAGTTTTTCCCCTCCTTTTCCAGCTTGAGCTGGAGAAGTATGCACATACTTCTGTCCCGGGGCCAGGCTCAGCTGGCAGTGGCACCGTCTCCTTTGCTCAAATCCATTTCCAAATTTAGTCAGGGAGATGTAGTAATAAATTGTGGACAAAGCCCATTCCCGGCTTGGCCAGCAGATGGCAATTCCTGCTTTGTAAGATATCCTTAGGCAGCCTTTAAGGTGTAAAGAAAGAGGAGTTTGCAGTAGCTGAGTCTCCATTGAGCATAAAAACACCTCTGGAAATTGTATTCAGGTTTCCTGTCAGCTACTACCAAAGCAGATGTCAGACCTACTCAGTGTGTGAAATCAGTGTTGTTATACATTAAGGAGAAAAGAACACTGTTCTGTTCACTCAGCAGTTAACTCTGTTTTGCTGTTCTAACAAGCAGCACAGGAACTTTTGGTCCCGTTTTAATGGCATTGCATTTGGGGATGTTTTCTGCCACATCAAATGTTCCTGACATGTATTGACATGGAAAGCTGAAATTAAAGCTAATACAAGGGGGTGTTTCCTGCTGTTACAAATCTATGGGAAATGACCTGTTTCATTTCAGAAGAAAAAAAAAAAGGCACATCATGCAGGTGCAGATAATATATGTATTAAATGACAGACTTCTGGAAGAGGTTAGCAGGGAAGACTGCTGCAGAGAAATCAATGTAAATTTGAGTTAGGCTCTTTGTTGTAAAAGAGAAAAGTTTCAGGAATGATGTAAAAAGCCAGCAAGACAGAACAATGATTAATGGACAAATACATTGATATTTTCCTTTTCCTTGCCTGATTTTCTGTTTCATTTTCACACCGAAACGGCTGTGTAGGGCTGACTACAATGTGTTGTTTAGGGAATGAGTTTTACATCTCAGGATTGGAACTCCCAATGTAGGGAGAAGGAAGGGTTAAGAAGGGGATCCAAGCTGACATTACAGAAATGACTGGGCCAGAAGGGGGTACAGAAGTTCTCAGTAAGTGTGGGGGAAATAAATTCCTTAAATAATTTCTGGTGACCTTTTTGCCTGGAGAAGCATAAATAGGATATGAAGCAAGATATATTTAGCATTATGTGGCTCAAAGTTTAGTTGTCCTGATGTGAGACTGAGGGCTGAAGGGAGAAAAAAAGGAAAATTATTGGAAGAGGTCCTAGGGGTCATGCCAAGAAGCCAGGTTTACTTTTAAATACTCAATATTTGAAACTGATCAATGTTTTACTGTGTTTTACTTTCCAGTTGTACTGATACCATCAAAATATAATGAGAGAATTCATTCCTAGTCTGAGAGTGAGTAACAGTTTTTAACCCAAGGTCCTTTCCCAAGCTACTGTACACAGATTAGAAGTGTGCAAAGTCTGCCCTTGTGTTTCTGTGGCCTGTGCTCTGTGACACCCTGAGTTACAAGTCTTCTCATTGTCAGAAAAGAAAGTGCTTCCTTGAGTGAGGGAGAGTCTGGACCAGCTGGAACAAGCCAGCTGAAGCAGAAGTCTGGAGGGGCTGTCTGACCTCGGGCTCCAAAGGAAGGCCAGGATTTGCTGTTGGTAAATAGTTTTTAGGCAGACCACAGAGACTGTGTTCAAATGTTTGCTTAAAAAACAAACAAACCTGTTACATGTTAATGGGTAAGAAATTCTTGCTCTAAGCCTGTGCTCATTGCTTTAGTATCAAACTTGTTTCTGAAAACTGTTGTTAGGAAACCGTGTTATTAGGAAAGAGCAGGAGGAATTCATCCAGGTTATTACGAGGGTTGGTTTTGGGGGAGGAGAGAGAAGAGGCTCACGGTGGTGAAAATGGAGTTAAACATGGGACTGCACCTGGCAATTTGCTTGAGAAATCCAGAGTTAGGAATGTGTCTCTGCATCAGCAAAGCTTTGAAATATGGGAGATTGAGTTTGGATGCAACCAGACTAAGCTGATGTCCAACTGGAGAACACACATCAAGCCTCCTGTGGCAACTTGTGCTTCCAGGTAATATCTCCTCATATGTTGCTCTCCTTGTGACACCTCATCTTTACAAGAAGCACACATCTTGACTAGAGAAGATCAGAAGTCTAGCTCTCTCACACGGATCCTGCACATCAGGAAAAGCAAAATGGGAAAAGTTCTACTCAAATCCCTTTGGAGGTTACCCTAGAGTATCAATCCTACTGTGAAAGTTGAAGTCAAACACAAAGTTGGGGTTTTTTAAAGTGTCTGTAATTCCAGGCTATGCTTGAATTCATTGCAGAACAAAAAACCTGCTTTTTCCAGCTGATAGCCTTGCAAAGTCATACTGAAACCAAAAAATACTGTGTACTTTGGCAGAGGTATTACCAGCCATAAAGATCTGGCAACTGCAACCTGTGTAACAATCTTACTAATTGTATTTAAATTGGAGTGGATCAACCCTTCTAACACTGAATACAAATCTTTACTTTTCCCAAGGAGAAAAGCAGATAGGAGGCTGGATGTATACAAGGTTTTAACACGGGTTTCTGCAACGAGATTTGACACCAGGTTAACTATTCCCATTTGCTATATGGGTGCAAGTTATTAGACTGTGTAAAGTAAAAGACGGTCTAAAGTCAAAACACTGTAGTAGCCTCAAAATAATTAATGTACAAACACAACTCTGGTTTTGCTCCATAATCATTCATATGCGAAGAGTCTTATGTAAGAATAATTCCTTTTCTTCTTGTTCAACTTTTTCCACATGTTCTTGGAATATTAACCTAACTCTTGAAACAAAAGGTCCTCTTGTATATGTGGATATATAAAAGTATATTTAACAAAGGGTTGGTAGTACCTTAACTTCTGCTTTTCTACTGATTGGTGGCAGGACATCAAATATCCTGCAGAAATACAATTAGAAAAATGTCTTAAGATCAAAGGAACTACAAAATTACAATGCCTGGGAACAAAGTGGGTCATTAAAGGCCAGCAAACATTCTTTCTGTAAAACTAAGAATCCCAGGTTATTTTTAAGATCAGCTCCTTATGTCAGGGGTGGCTTTCTTAGTGGGAATATTAGGTATATTTTGATAATACAGAAACCTGAGATGGCTTAATGATTAATAGTCTTATTCTCCATAGCAAATTTAGCTCAAATAGAAGAATTGTACATAACTTAGTACACGGTTTTCATGCCCGGTCAGTAGCGTTATAGGCCTTATTAATTGTAAAATCCTGTTAGTACACAGCACTATCCTCCAGTAAATTCCAGCAAAGTGAATTCTGGAACGACAATTGCACTGCGTGTGCATAGTTATAAATCAGATTTTTAAGCGTCTGGGAATTATTCATGTTGTTTAAGTGGCTTGGGTTTATATTGTCTTATTGCTTATTTGGCCCAATTTGAACATGCAAGCTTTCCCTCAAAGGGTGGTACTGTGTGTACTGTATTATACATAGAGTTGGCAACTTCTTAAAGGTTTAGATTTTACTTAAAAGAGCTTACAGGAGTTGAAAGCTTTTAGTAAAATAATTAGGTGGAGTGACATTTCATTTTAAATATTAATATCCCAGGGAGGTTAAATAAGATTACCTTGATTTCACCCTGATGAGAGGAGGGAAGTATTTTCTTCCAAGTACTTCTAACTAAAATATAAGACACAATAGACACCTAAACGGTTACACCTTTTATATACTGAATAATTCTGCCTGATAATGGATACTGCATCTGTTATGTCACAGTGCTGTGATCAGAAGCTTCTGTAATGAAAAATCTTTACATAGTCTTTATTTTAAATAACTGGGAATGATGATAAAGAAAATTTATTATTAATTTTATCTGTCTTAGGAAATGCATCTAGGATTCCCAGAGAGGAATCTTAGCCTATGTGCATCTCTTGAGTTACAAAAAATGCTGTTTCAGAGGGAGGACAAAGAGCACTCGGAGCCACTGAACCTAAACGATTCACATCTGGCTTTCAAGTAAATGCTGCACTGTGATCGACCAGCTATAAGGTAACCTCATACTCCTCATGGGTGAGGCTGGCCAGGGAGAGCACGCTGTCTTACTCAGCCTAAATAACAGAGAGGGCAGTTTAGGATCCCTTAATGAAATTGATTTGTGTGAATATATGCTATACTAGAAACTTTTCTGTACTAATTTATTTTATTTTTGTATGTAAAGTAACGGTTATCCCATTAATCTTGTAGAGACATTTTTTATCAGAGTATAAATAGAAAGTACAGGGCCTATGAATGTGCTTACTTTTGAACAAATGGTATATTTTTACTTAACCACAAAGTAAATACATATTTAGAGGAAGGCCACTGATACAGGACTTATTTAACTTTTAAAAAATCCCGGTCAACAGAAGGATTAATTTAATTCTGCTTTTGAAAGAGAGGAGATATTTAATGGTGCTAAGAAGAATTGTTATGTTTATTTCACAAAACACAGTCATTGCAAACTAATGTTGCATTTTCACATACCTTTGTTGAAATCTATTTTATACATACTACCACACATGGGATGAATTGAGTGTTAAATAACCTATCAATTGGAGAAAAGTGAACCAGAGAGAGCATATATATTTATTTTTTTTTTTTTTTTTTTTTTTACTGACCTGCAAAAGATTGGATTTTTTCTTGTGGGATACCCAACTTCCAATTCAGGATTTCAGATGATAGTTAAAAAGTAGATGTAGATTGAGGACAATCATTTAGACTTAAAAAAAAAAGAAAAAAAAAAAAAGAAAGTTTTTTAATCTTTCATATATTAAAGAAACTCTTCATGAGTAGAAAAACAGAATGGAATTAAGTCCTTCTGTACCTCTGTGCAGCTGCAAAGGTAGATGCATCACATTATTTACCATATATTTAATGTCTGATATAGTTTAAATACTTCCATGCAAATATGTACAGCTGGCACTATTCTTTGCTATATTTAGTATCCCTATAATAGTCTTAAAACGTCAGATTTTTTAATGTTGTATTTCTCAACACAAATGTGTTCAATTTGCAAAGGCAAGTAGACTTTCTACATGGAAGACTTTGTTAACAGTTTTCATATGCCTTAATATTTGAATTGACTCACTTAGATACACAGTTTTGCTTACCTAGTAAGTAAAATGCTGACAGTGCTGTAAATCATACCTTGAAATGGGGCCACTACCACCTGGTAGCCCTTGCTATAGCCTTTAATACAGAAACACTTTCAAAGGGACAAATGGACAAGGGTGATCAACAAAGTTAATTTAACTTCCATAGAAATTCGAATTCTTAAAAATCAAGTGAGCAAGGTTAGTGTCACTTCTATTCCTGGTGGATTTTCAGTTCACGTATTACTGTCAGAGGTAGTGGGTTTTTTTTCTTTTTCATCTTTTTGCAGCTTGAAAAGTTAACTGAGAGGCCACTGAGCAACCAACTAAAATCTGCTTCTAGACAGCAATCTGGTTTGGTTGATTTGGTAAAACATTTGTTTCTCTGATGTTCCAAACTTTTGCTGAAAACAAAATTGAGTTATTGAGATTGCAAAGGTGGTCTGGAGATATTAAATCTACATAAACAAAAGAAGGAACTCTGAGGTGCTTAGATCCTATGATAATGTGTGCAGTGTGAGATATTTGACCTGTGTAGTGGTATCAAACCAAGCCTGAAGACAGCCTAAAACAATGGCTTGAAGCAGTTCCTGCTCATTTGAAAGAGATGTTAACTTTGAAGCTGCATGAGAATGTTGCCAGCACTGTTAGTTATTTCACTGCCAAGAGAGAGGTGAATGATCATGCTAGGACAATGTATTCTTCATGCTTCCTCATTTAGCAATAGGATCAAAACAAATTCTGTGTTTGAGGTCAGAATAAAAATTATCTTAAGATGTTCTTCAACTTTATATCCTCGGGTGGGATTAATTCCACGAAATTTTAGGTGTCTAGAGTTCTCACTCATACATCTAAGCTAGTCATCTGGCTCCTTCAGTATGACTTATAATAAATGTTAATGTTTAAAAGTAAATTGTGCTCCTGTTCCCACCTACCAACACTACATAGATGATATCCTTGATCAGATGCTCACAGTGGAGACAGAGACAAGGTAGGCTAGAAAAATCCTACACTAAAAGTCTGCCATCAAAAATTTAGCTCTGTGCAGCTGGGGATTGGCAGGGGCAGAGGGCTTTGACAGGTAGTGACTGCCACTTTCTTTCACTTGCCCACCTTTAGTAGTAGCAGTTATGTGTCAACAGTATTCCAGACAACAGCTGGTAAAGTCCTATCCACTCTTCATTGAATGATAAACTAAACCTGAGTTTAATTTGTAAAGAAGCCAGACCTGAGCCATCAGGTGAACCTAAAAATGGAAAATGTTAAGTCTGGAATTGGTGTTTTAAACAAATGCAGATGTGGGAACTGGACTAAGCTAAGGAAAAGTATTGCTTTTCTTTAGCTTCACTAGTTAGACATTTAGTCTACTTTCTTTCCCTCTCTCATACCGGTTGGAATTAGGAGGGAACCTATATCTTGACAACTAATAGCGGTCTAGAAAACTTCTACTGTAGGTATTATCAAATTAGGGTTAGACATTTTCAGCACTCCCCACAGTACACAAGTAAAATCTGTGGTTTATACCTTTGAAAGTGTGACTCATCTGCTCAGCAGTCAGATGCAGCCCTGGTAGTTCATACGACTCAGCTGGAGCCCAGTCTGAAACACCAGTAGAACATCCTGTCTGGCTGAGATGCATAAACACTGCTTACTGAATAGGATTTAATCTAATGTTGATCTTCACGCAGTTGGCGATACCATATGTTTTTGTGTTTTAATGGTTATCCTGTTTATCTCATCTTTCTGATCCAAGTCCAAATCCTTCTGCTGAATAGGTGTCTTAATAATACTAGCTGAAAATTAAAGAACAGAAAGGCTTAATCATTAATATAATGCATTAGTCTAACTGGCCACAAGATTTTATGTTAGCCTCATGCTCTCTCTGTATAGTGCCTCTCTTTCTTGGATTTGCTTCTGCTGTACTGCTTGTTGAAAATTTGTAGTAAAGTTAGGCATTTTACTGAAGACCTAGTTTTTTTCTAGATGATGTAGACATACCCTTTTCATTGATTACAGTACAAATTCTAATCAGATCAACAGAAGAAGGAAGAATTAAACTCTCTGAACACGTACTCTACAGGCTTGACATTCTGTGCACTTTATTTTTGCAGAATACTACATGACTTTGAAAAATTTTGTTATGGAAAAGCTGTCTTGGTGTGTCACTAACAGCATGCTTCAACAATATAGGTAATTTTTTTTTTAAGTCATAGGCAATTGAAGTATTCTTTATGGTCAAAGAAAATGCTGCATGTGAGAGCTACTGAAGTCTTGGTCTATTTTCAATAGCTTGGGAGAAAGTGAGTCAATGTTTAATGGGGAGCTGGCTAGAATTTCAGATAGGGTTGCAGAAGATGCCATTTCCCAGCCCCTGGGGCTTTTGAAAATCCACAAATGAGAGGGCAAATTCTTCCTTTGGCTTTGGTCTTTTATATATTGATCCTAAAATAGGCACAGCCTGAGTACCACCGTAGCAGATGTCTGTTACAGAGCATTATGTCTTTTGTGTGCACAATTGCTGTTTGTTATCAGCTGTAGGGTATTAATAAAACATGTAAAACAAGCATATTACCATAAACAGGAAGGAATCTTAGACAAACCCAAGGCTTTCCTCACATCACATTTCTCATCTTATCCATACTCTCTTGGTTTTTTTCCACTTTTCTCTTCATTTTGCTGTTGGTTTTATGATTTTTTTCTTTTTGTTTATAATAACAATTTAGCTGAAACACATGCATTTACCTATATATGAGGTCTATCTTCTGTATCTATGTAACCTCTTTATTTTCACTGTTTTATGCTGATTATCTCATGTCCATCTTCCTTCTTTTTCCTTTGCAACTTTTTTTCTTGCGAACACATAGGGCTCAAATAGCAGAGCCACAAAGGTGGCTTTCCTTTCACATGCTTTTCCAGAGTATTATTTTTTTTCAAATAATACTTTTAAAATTCTTAGATAGCAATAACTTAAACACCAGTGGTTTATTGTAAATCTTTGGGATTACAAAAAAACAGAAATAAAAAACTTCAGAAATGAAACTGCAGTCAAACCTGCCCATATTCTGTTTGCAAAGTACATTTGCCATGGAAATTATCTGACTATGAAGAGTGAGATTTTATTGTTCTTCTTCTTGGGAACTACTAGGGAAATAGCTGAGATCTCTAGAGACCTCTCTCAAAAGGAAAGAGGCTTAGCTCTTGAGAGGAGCAGAGTGTACCAAAGAGGTACAGAGTTTCTCTAGATGCCTACTTAAGGCCTGTAGAGGAAGACCCCATGAGCCTAAATTTTTCTGAAATATAAATACTACTTTTTTTTTAGTTTAGCTAAATGGCAGTAGGACAACAAGGTACAGAATATTGAAGAAACATTCAGAATAGTTATAGACATCATATTTATAAAAACTGTATGTACTGGAGAATCTGATTTTTTGACTATGCGTCTCAAATGTGAGGAAAAAGGGAAAAGAATTTGTTCATACTAATCAGGCTGTAAGAAACACTTAATGACTGGAAGATAGAATCTTTTTAAAAAATGTACAAAAGTAGAAGCTGCACACAATATGTTCATAATGGGTTTTCTTAAAGACACGTTCTTTGTCTTAAAAAGTGGGGGAGTGATTGTATTGTTTATAGGAAACAGGCGAACTGCAGTACATAAATATTACCTTGAAAAATATGCAGAGAGGGAATTAATCTCGAGCTTAACTGAACACTGCCCAAAACTGAAAATTTATGTGGCACTTCCCTTGAGCTGATTTGACTTTGCATCACACAGTTCACAGGCTTCCATTCAGGACTCCCATCTGAGCAGTCTCACTAAGAGTTAGAACCATACATAAGAGTTTGTGGAACGATGATCCCTTGGATCAGTCACATTAAGATCCAGTCTTAGATTTTGTCCTTGTTTATTTCTAAGCAACCGAAAGTTTAATCAAGTTAATTGTTGCTGACAAATGTAATGAAGATTGAGTCTGGAGAAAAAAAAGGGTTTGTTTGCTCTGTCATAACTGTTCAAAAATGTTATATTGTGGTGGAGGAAGCTTTAATTACTGTAAGAAAGCTCAACAGATTTAGAAAACAGCTTCTGGACAAAGGCTTGGTGGAGAATGTGAACTGTTAACTTTTTTATGTTAAATTGCTTAGGAAGTATTTTGAGCATAGTTAAGCTTATCATAGGCTTGGGGTTTTAATAAGCATCCAGACTTGTTCCTTGGGGGGAACAGATGTGTTTTTCAGTGGCCGGCCAAATATTCTCTCTTTTCTTCAACAATCATGATGCAATTCATAAAACTATACCGGGCTTTTATTTTCTTCTGAATTCTACTGCTGTATGTTTATGTGTAATGTTTTTATGTTTAACTTAGAAGGGCATGGGTAAGAAGACAGTGAGTATGCAGCAAGATTAGTGCACCTATGAAATGCTCTTAATTATATGTTTTACTTTCTTTAGCTACTAGTTTTCATGTGGAGAGCAATGTGTGCTGAACCAGAAGGCACGTTTTTAAGAATCGGTGCTTTGTTTTGGACTAAGCTTTCTTTTTCCATGTGGCCACTGGTAGGTAGGACGGAGAAGGTGATTCAGGGTCAAAAAAGGAAGAAGAGGGATTGGCAGGCAGGCTGGGGAGTTGGATGGCACAGCGGGCATAGCAATAGCAGCCTAGGCTCTGAGGGAAGAAATGGGGATGGTGTACGAGTGCAAGAGGATGCTTTGAGCCCTCCAAATCTCACAGGGATGGACGAAGCATCCAGATTTAATATGCTGATTTTCTTTCAAGAAGCTCTCTTCCTCATCAAGCCCAAACTGCTAAAAACATAAGTAGCTGCCAAACAGCAGAACAGACGTGCGAATGCAAGCTTGGAAGCAGGATCGTGAATCAAAATCTTGTCATTTAACACTCCTGACCTGCACTTTCCCTATCCTCTCGCTTCCCTGGCTGCGGAGAGGAAAGGTCAGGAGTTGATGCCTATGTGCAAATGGGAAACATGTCAAGAGGTGTATTTGCAGGAGCAAGTACTTTCTCTTCCTTTGTTAAAAAGCAGGAAAGACAATGAGCAGAAGCGGTTCCCGCACGGTGTCCCCTGGCACAGGGTGTCCCGAGGGGAGGTGGACAACTGTCCTGGAGGCCAGCGGATGCCCCGAGGGCCCTGGAGCTGGGCGCCTCCGCAGCGGGGCTGGCAGCCCTTCCCTCGGGGAGGAGAGTGGGCGCTGGACTCCGCAGAGGCCGGAGAGCGCCGGGCAGGGCCGAGAGCCGGCTCTCACCGCGAGTGGGGCTCTGTGTGTGGCGAGGGGTGCGCGTTTTGGGGCGGCTTCTCTTTATTTCGTTGTTGTTTGCGAACGGCCGGGGCGGGAGTTTCAGACTTTTCCCCCTCGCCCAGCTCGGGCGGGACACCGCTGGGCGCAGCTGCCCTGCCTCGTGGGGCGCGGGCAGGGCCCGGGAGCGGGGCCAGGGGCTTGTTTACCGCTCTGCCCGCCGAGGGCAGTGCGCGGTACCTGTGTGCAAGCTCGGGGCGCTCGCCCGCCTCCCGCCCCCTTCCCGCGGCCGTTAACCGCTGAGCTCCAGCCTCGCCCTCCGCTTCCCCGCTCCCCCTCCCCAGGGGCCGCCGCACGGTGCGCTTACCGCCGGCGGCCGACACGGCGCGGTCCCGCCCCGCTCCACCCCCTCCGCCGGAGAGCCAGAGCGGCGGACAAGGTGGGGGGGGCCCGGAGAGGAGCGTGGCTTCGCCTGCCTTTCCCCGGCCCCCCTCCCTCCTCCCCTCCCGCGGCCAATCGGCGCGGAGGGAAGCGCTCCTGCCGCTGACGCCCCCGAGGGAGCCCCCCTTTTAAAATAAAGCGGCGGCGGCGCGGCGGGAAGAGGGGGGTGTGCGCTGGCCTCGCTCGGTCCCGCACACCGGCCGGGCGGACAGACAGACAGACAGAGCGCCGCAGGATGCCCGCAGCTCCCACGGCCAGGGGCTGAGGCGGGCGGGGGACGAGAGGTCGCGAGGAGGAGGAAGGCGGGAGCGGCGCGGCTGGAGGGTCTCGCGCCCGCTCCGAGGATGGCGCCGGTGAGCGAGCAGCTGGAGCCGCAGGGCGCGGAGGGAGACCCCGCCGGCGCGACCCCCCTGCCCGGCCCGCCGGCGGCCGAGGAGCCGCGGCGGGAGAACGGCGGCGAGTGGTGCCCCGGGAGCGGCGAGAGCGGGGCCCAGCCCCAGGCGGCGGCGGAGGCCCCCGGGAGCCCGGGCTGCCCCGGGAGCGCTGCGGCGCCGGAGCCCCCCGAGGGCGGCTGGGGCTGGGTGGTGATGCTGGCCGCCATGTGGTGCAACGGCGCCGTCTTCGGCATTCAGAACTCATGCGGGGTCCTCTTCGTCTCCATGCTCCGGCTCTTCGGCAGCAGCGAGGACAAGCAGCTGGTGTTCAAAACAGGTGAGGGGCGGCCGGGGAAGGGGTCGTGGCGGCTTCCAGCCCGCTCCGCCTCGGGCCTTCCCCGCCTGCAGCCCGGGCGCATGGGGTGTCCGAGCCCCGGGGGCCGCAGCAGCGAGACCCCTGTGGAGGGCCGGGCCAGGCCGGAGCCGCTGGGGCGCTCGGGAATAGCCCCGAGGGAAAGGGCAGCTCCCCTCGCCTCCCTGCGAAGGTGCGTGTGTCCCCCGAGCTGCGATCTCCGGGGCTATCGGGGGCGAAGCTGCGGAAAAGGAACAGGTGTGCTCTCGCTTCTTCCACAGCTGGATCTTTAGGCATCCGCTGTCGTGCAGTGTGGGTTACAATGCACGCTTCTGGTCTCAGAAACCTTTATTCCTCTGCTCCGTTAGCCTAAAGGTTGGTCTGAATGATCAATTCATAGTGGGGTATAGTGACACTTAAAATATGTCAAGAATGGGCTTGACAGTTGTCAAACTCGGCGTTTTGCTGTTCAGGTTTACTGCTGCGACCAGTGTCACAAAACTCACCAGTGAAGTTAACGATATTTACTAATCTTTAAAGGCATTAACAGTACTTTCACATGTTACTGATCTAAAGCACTTAAAACACATACGAGTCAAATAATTAAAAGGTAAGCATACATTCTGTTTTATTTTATGTATGTTTTCTGTGGGAAGTGTCTTGTGCTCTCTGACTTAGTAAGTTGAGGAAATTCAGTTTTTGGCTCTTGAAATAACAATAATTGAAATTAAGGAACAATATTAAAATTATGTTTTATTATAGTAAATAATAAAGTTGACTTATATAAATACAGCTTTGCGATAAATTATTAAAATGAAATACTGAAAAATAAACACTGTCTTATGTTTTTGTTCCTTTCTTTAAAAAAAGTCTAGCCTTGCAGAGTTGTAAACCTAGAAAACTTTTTTGGTACAGAATGGGTGTTACGGACCTTCTGAAACTTACTTGAAATTTACATCTTCCTTAATACTTGCATAAGTAGGCCTAAAGTTGAGGCATTAAGACAAAGAAGTTAATTTTCCTCCCGCAGCTCAATAACTAGTTTTGTCTGGAGTAGAAAATCAGAGCAGGTGTTTATACCGAAGTATGAAAGCTGAAAAGCTGAGATGGAGCATTATGTATTGTTGTCTCTGGCATTTGAAGGGTTTTGTATATCATTTACAGTGATATACAAGGTGTATTCCCCAGTGTGCGTGAGCTAGGAAGATGGGAAGCTACATCTGCACAGTCAGATTGGGCAGTGCCTGTTTCTCAGAAGGGAAATGCATTTCCAGAAGTAGGTGCCTAGGCTCCTCAGCCTGCACAGGGGAAGAATGAGATTCAGAGAACATGCTGTGAATATTTGCATACTGACCTGGGAGCCCCTGGCCAGTCAGAAATGCAGAAGCAAATGAGTGGCTGATACTTTGCCTGTTCACTGTACAGAAGTTTAAAAATTGCTTTTTCTGATTATCTGGTTTGGTAGTAACAATCGCTTAAAAATTGTTGTCTTGTACTTAGAAAATAAAAAAGGTTTTTAGGTAGTACTTCAGTAGTTCAAATAATCAACAAGAGAGCGACTGAAATTATCTCCTACCTTCCAGAAGGGTAATTGTACCACTGGTGTCTAAGTGAGGTGAGATTGTGGGTGTGCTCCACTCATGTTTTTGAAAGTTTGCCCAATTGCAGAAAAGAGTGGGGGGAAAGAAATGGAACTTGGCTTTAGAAACTAGTTGTTTTGCATCCTGCTTAGAAGAGCAGGAAGAGTTCTGAGTCCTGGATACAGCTAGCACCTCCTGTATTGCTTTTTAAGTGATTTGAGGGAAAAAAAAAAAGCTACAACTGCACACTGTTGCACTTTACTCTGGTTTGGATAATGCAGAAGTTGCTATTTTCTCTCTTTATTTTTTTAAAAATCCAGATGGGTTCAAGTTGGGGAAAATACTGCAAGATAGCTGCCTTGACTGAAAGGCTTGTGTGCATGTGAAGGAGCACTGCAAATACAAGAAGTCTCCTGTAAACAAAAGCACAGCAGATAGAAAACGATCCTTTCCTTTTAATGTCTGAAAGTACCTTGATGATTTGAGGTACTGCAAGGGAAATATCACTGTGATTTTTAGTGTTAGAGAAAAGCCTAGCCTGATCATTCCCATGGTATTGATTCAAATACTTAATCTGCTGAGTCTCTTGTGTTTGGACTGATTGCAACTTAAACCTGGCAGTGGTAACTGAGTTAGTCAAGTTTAATGAATTGGAAAACTGGAATTTGTAATGAAAGTTTTCTTGCTGTGGGGCTTTACTTTGGAAAGAGAAGTTTAATAGTCTAATCCTTCTGGAAAAAAAGGATTTCTCTAATATCTGAAATGCTGATTTTTTTCAGAGGCACGAGTATTCCAGGTAATTTCTTTAAGGACCTCAGGTGTCTGTGGAATTTTGCAGTTGATCCACAGTGCCAAAGAATTCAGGTCTGTTTGTGGTTTGTTAGGGTTTTTTTGTTGTTGTTGTTTTTGTTTTTTACTACAGGATTACTTAGCTGTTGCCAAGAGCACATGTGTTGCCAGAGGTTTTTTTTTGTGCTTGCTCTTTTGGGAGTTCTCTTGCCTGGTATTTTTCCTGAAAGGAGGAATTGAGTAGGTTTTAATAAAAGCTGCTTTTGGTATCTCTTAATAACATCTTGTAATACCTTAGAAGTCAATGCAAGGCAAAATGGGATTGCTCTAAATATCGTAGTCTTTGCTATTTTTGTTAGTGTTAGTAGATGGGGTGGGTGTTGATCAGTGTGAACTGCAAAAAGGGAGGAGGCAGAGTGGAGGAAGATGTAGTCAAGAAGTGACTCTGCCTTGTATGTGAGGAGTGGAAGGAACCAAAAGTATAGGCAAGGCTGTCTATCAGCACTGGATAAATAAGATGAAGAACTATAATTAACATTGTTGCTAGATTTAGGAGTATTAATGGAAAAGCTTGTGGGTCATAGAGGGTTCAAAAATTCTTTCAAGGGACACCTTTTCATGAAAAAACAATTGAATATAACTAGTACACAGTATCTTGGTATTTGTATTAGCAAAAACTACAGTGCACTACATAAGCAAAGAAATTAGAAGCAATTTCATTGTTTCCTTGTGTAGCTATTTTTTTGTTCAAAAACTAATTGATTCACAATTCCAGAAGAGGAAAAGCCCCTAGTGCAAGTATGAAACTTCTAGTAAGGTGTGCCTGAAGTCTCAGGAAACTACTCTGTTCATTGTTTATATTTCATTGTGTTTGGGGAACAAGCCGGGTGGAAAAAAACAATGGCAATGAAATGGAGGAGGCTCATGGTCCTTGGAAATAGGACAGACCTAGTGTTCAAATGCAATTGTAGTCTGATCACCCTTGAAGGGAAAGGATTTAGTCCAGACCAGTCCAGGGTCTGGCAGGAAGAGCACTTGTTTCTTTTCCCTATTGGAGTTGTCACATGGGGATGAGGAGCACTGAGCCAGTCCCATTGTTATCTCAGAGATTTGTGTGAGCCTCCTGTGTTTTGCTCTCTTGATAGGTGCTTCTGTCATATAGGTTTTTATGTGCATATGTACCTATACTTGTTTTCAAAAAGCAAATAAAAACTATGATACTAGTGGCAACAGAGATAAAAATGGTAGGTTTCATTTTTAAAAAGTCACATAAAATTACTAGCTCCACTACTTTAATTGCTCCTTGTTCTATGATCTACAATGCTGGTTCTGTAACTCTACTGGATTATTCTCTCGTGTATAGCTGTTAAGTACACCTATGTGTACAGGTATCCCCTGCACAGGGAGTATGTACTGCTATTAGAGTTCTGCATCCGCGTGTTGGCTTTGTTAGCCAGTGTTCCTAGAAGATAGCACCTCTCCTTGCCTGGACTGGTTATTCCTGTGCTTGTGTGCCTCTGGGTTTGGCTCTCTAAAGTGCAGCCTTTGGCGATGTATCTGCATGTCAGGATGATTGATTGGCTGGCTCAACACTGTTGGCACCATCAGGAGTCTTGGACCTGCTGAGAGTTTGATAGGGCAGGGAGGATTCTTCAGAAGTAAAATTCTGATTTTACTTTCACATACAGGCTGTAATTCAAATACTGAGAAGATAATGTTGAATGACTGCAAAGATCTACAATGGATAATTTCACAGGACAGTTTGAAGTTTTCCTTTATACTCTTTTCTTGAATCTCTTTATCTTCCTGAGTTTTCCTCCAGAGATAAAGACCATCAGCCATTTTGATGTAATTCAAGTCCTTGTTGTGTAACTGTCCTTCAGAACCACAGTTTTGCTTCTATATCTGTGGGCTGCTGTATCCAGTAAATTGGGAACCTTGTCAGGCTGGACCTGTGTCACATGGTTTATGAGACAGCAACTCTTTTTTTAAGAACTACTAAGTCAAATTTGGAATGCAGAAGTTATCAGAGTACACAAGTATAATTTGAGGTGCAAGGAGGTATACTACTATATAACACACTGGTCAATACGGATTACATTGCAGTAGAGGATGTAGTTCCACAAAAAAGCTGGATTTTTTGAACAAAAAATGGCTACACAAGGAAATAATGGAATTGCTTACATAGTGCCCATGGTTATCTGTGCTGCTGTAGTCTGCTTTCCTTCTCATGTTTGTGTGGCAATTGAAACCAGAGAGGGGAACTAAGAGTGAGTTCTAACTTGATATATGTAAGTAATGATTAATTTTATTCATTTGTAGTCATTTTTGTACCTCTTTGACCTGGCTTTGTGATTATAAATACCTATGTAAATTAAGATTCTGAAGTATTTGATATGATGGCCGAGTCGAACTGGAAAGTTGAAGGCAGTTTCTGTAGCATGCTGCCTTTATTTAGACCAGAATATCACTACTGTTTATGCATACACACATGCAATATCTTTATGCCTCTGGACCATTTCTCTTGTAGTCTTGTTAACTACTCTGCAGACTGATTACTTAGGTAGTCTTTTTGTGGTTTTTTTTTTCTTCTTCCCCTTTTATTGGATTTCACAT